ATATTTGGAGAGGGCGAGATGGGTGGTTAGAATACCCACTTGGGCCCAGAAAAACAACTTAAGACCTAAGGCCACCCACCCAAGAGACACGCAGGGAGCCAGGAGAGACAGATAACTGCCTGCAACGTTCTGGGAGGATTTTGAGCCTACAGGAAAAATTCTTATGGTAAGAGGGCTTGAGACCCTTGCAAAGCTTTTCTCTGCTTCTGTATCAGACTTAAAATTAGATATTTATATTTCAGAAATGCTATTTTCTTTCTTTATTTTCTTCTCTCCTTCCAAGTTCTTTTTTTTTTTTTTGAGACGGAGTTTCGCTCTTGTTACCCAGGCTGGAGTGCAATGGCGCGATCTCGGCTCACCGCAACCTCCGCCTCCTGGGTTCAAGCAATTCTCCTGCCTCTGCCTCCCTAGTAGCTGGGACTACAGGCGTGCGCCACCATGCCCAGCTAATTTTTGTATTCTTAGTAGAGATGGGGTTTCACCATGTTGACCAGGATGGTCTCGATCTCTTGACCTCGTGATCCACCCGCCTCGGCCTCCCAAAGTGCTGGGATTACAGGCGTGAGCCACCGCGCCCGGCCCCAAGTTCTTTTAAAATATGCTGACTGGTCTCTGGTGTATTAAGAGTAAGCAAGGTGAAAGGATTTGCTTCACAAACAGCCTAGTCTTCTGTAAGGACCAAGGGCATATCCCTGATACCTGGGACTGGTAGTGGTAGCTTGAATCAAAGGGAGAAAACTCTGAGATCGGATACAATATGCCAAGCCCTTTTGTGATGGTCAGTTTTAGGTGTAGACTAGGGTAAGGGCTGCCAGATGCCTCATAAAACCTTCCTCCTGGGTGTGTCTGTGAGGGTGCGTCTGGAAGAGGTTGGTGATGGGATTGGAAGGCTGAGTGAAGACAGTCCGTCTTCACTGGTGCAGGCGGGCATCAGCCTATCCTCCATCAAGTGCCCACGTGAAACAACAGCGGCTGAGGGTGGGCAAATGGCTCTCTTCTGGGGCTGGGGCAGCTTCTCCTGTTGCTTGGACATTAGAACTCTAGGTTCTCAGATTTTGGGACACAGACCGAATGATACCACTAGCTCCTCTGGTTCTCCAGCATTCAGATGGCATATCACTGGACTTCTCAGCCTCCATAATTGCATGTGCTGATTTCTATAATACATCCGGTTACATCTCTGTATCTAGACTGATATCAATATTGATGTCTACATTAATCCTATTAGTTATGTTTTCCTGAAGAACTCTAATATACCTTTCTTTCTAGATGTTTCTTCTAGAGGTCATTTTTTGCTTCAATTTCGAAGACTGTTTTCACTGTGAATTGTATCATCCAAAAATGGCTGTAACACTCTCCCTTATCGCATAAGCTTTTCTTAAAATGTGACAGGGACACTGCTCTAGTGACGGGTGGGGAACTGTGTCCTCTCCCTTTGAACTGAGGCAGGTTTTTGACCCTGATGGAAGTGATGCTATGTGTCTTCCAAGGCTAGGATATAAAGGGTAATATGCCTTTTGCCTGGTTCTATTGGGACACCAGCTCTTGGAACTTAGCCACTCTGCCGTGAGGAAGCCCAGGCAGCCTGCAGAGAGACCCACTTGAGGAAGAACCGAAGAACCACAGCCGTTTGCTGGCAGCCCTGGCTAAGAGCCAGCGTCGATCAGCTAGCCACGTGAACGAGCCATTCTGAAAGGAGAGCGGTCCATACAACCGTGGAGCTGATGCCACATGAAGTAGAGAAGAGCTGTCCCCACCAACCCCTGTCCAAATTGCAAATTCACGAGCAAATGAATGAACCTTATTGCTTTAAGCCATGATATTTTGGGCTGGGGTTTTACGTGGCAAGACGACTGATACAGTTCCCTATTTACGTAAACACTAAGCATGCTCTTGGGTGTTCGTGTTGAGTAAATTGCTTTGATTTAGAGCTGCCTCTCTTTTTCACAAGCAGTGTCTCAACAATTGTTCTGCCCTAGATTCTGCAATGAGGTCTGGAACCACTGAGGAAGGTGAGAAGTGACTGGTGAGTAAACTTTTGTTTTTGAGTTCTCCTTTTCAGTGACTATGAAGAGGGAATGGGGGTACTTTCCTCTTCTCCTACACTTGAAGCTCCGCCCCCTTTCTCACTTGTCCTCCAGAGGCCTCTGGGGATGTGCAGGTAGGTGTCTACATAGGGTTATTTTCATAGACACACTGATAAGACTATTGTTTTGTATTTCCAAAAAGTCAATGTCTCTTAAAAGAAGATGACAGACACTCCCATACCTGAGATATATAGCATTCCTGGATAGATTACTGCATTTATCAGTGACATTGATGACTATCAGTACACCTAGTGCCTGATGGGGGCTATTCAGGGGAGTGGCTCATGTTCCTCCCTCATGTCCCTCTTCGACATCTGGGATCCATGCTCCCCTTGAACTCTCAACTGGATGTGTCTATGCTAGGAAGGGGCAGCCATCCTTTCTGGGTCCAAAGCTCAGCCATATGCCAAAAGGAAGATTTGATCAGACTCACTCCTCACTGTAAGCCGATACAGTATATCTCTCTTTAGCTGATCTGACACCCAGTTAAGACCGGTCTGATGATGATGATGATGACGATGATGACCTTTTCCCTTTTTATCTTAATTTTCCTCTCCTTCCTCTCTGCCTTGTTCTACTCTATTTTTAGTAGACTTATCCAGAAGAAATGTATTCTCCTCTTTAGTGTCTTTAAACCCCTTCCCAACCCAACTCATGTTGTAAAGCTTGTGATGTGTTTTCTTCTTTCCAACCTGACACCTTTTTTGTTTGTTTGTTTGTTTGTTTGTTTTTTGACACGGTCTCATTCTGTCACCAGGGCTGGAGTGCAGTGGCATGATCACAGCAACCTAGAACACCTGGGCTCAAGCAATACTCCTGCTTCAGCCTCCCGAGTAGCTGAGACTACTGGCATGAGCCTCCATGTCCACGCCATCCATTCTGATAGACAGGTTTACTTTTCTAGTAGAAGCCACAACCCAGAGTAGGACAAATGGATGGTCAAACAAGGCAGTCAAGTTGGGTGGTGAGATTGACTCCATCTTTTTTCTTGCCTCGCAGGCCCTTAGGAGAGGGTTTGTCTGAGACCTGATGTTTCCCACTTCACACCTAACAATGGTTAGGAACTGGGGCCAGCCTTTGGGGATCCAGCAGTTCTCTCCAGGCGACAGGTAGCTGCTTAGAGGTTTTGGGAGGAGAAGAATCCTGCTACGACCAATTCTGCAAATGGATTCCAATATGTCTTTACAGTCTCGGGACCCTGGGAAAGTGTGTAAGAGTGTGTGTGTGTGTGTGTGTGTGTGTGGTGTGTTGGTGGTGGAGTTATTCCAGGTTATGCCACCTGGAAATTACTACATCAATGAGACCTGGAGCTTCCAGCTCACTTCATTGTCCCCAAAAAGGCATCTTTGCTCAAGAAGAGAACAAAAATCATGGCTCAGGAAGAGATGGCCCCAAGTTCTGCATCTTGAGTGTGTTTGCACGAGTGGAGGGGTGGGTAGGGTAGGAGGTTATTCAAGAGTCCTAGTTCTCCAGGTCTAGCCAGACCCTCAACATTTATCCATGTGCTCACTGCTCTGCTTTCTGCCTCCCAGCTGGCCGTGCGCTAATAGGGTTCCGGTGTCAGGGAAGGCTGCACCTCCAGTGTTCAAGGCCACTTTCTGTGCATGTCCCAGAAGCACGTCTCCTTCTTGTTCTTTTGGGAGCTTTGTGTCCTGGAGCCAGGGCTTTGTGGCTAATGAGTGCTTTGAAAGGATGAAATTCCTGTGCTCTGGCTCTCTGACCCTCTGTCTTCCTGCCTTGGCCAACAGCCCACCCCAGGGAGTGGTGTGATTCTTAACCACTGCCTTCACTCCTTGAAAGAACAAACATCTTCACTGCAGCCTCCGAGCGCTGGTGTGAGGTGATTGTTTGTAGTAGATGTTTCCATGACATTCATTTATTTCTTCTGCAAATACAACTGTATTGGGGGAGGGGAGGGAGAGAAGCTAGGGTAGGGCGATTGGGACAAACGAAGACCTTCCAGTATCCTATTTACATTTCTTTGTAGGATAAGAAGCCCCTTCCCTTTCTCTGGGTCTCCTCTATCCCAGACTCCTAAAGCGTTCCCCAAGCCCATCTTGGCCTCGGGCGGCCGAGACGGGGCTGGGCTCCGAGTAAGGTGGGGAGGGGAGGAACCATGTGCGTGAGGAAGCAGCCTTTATCAGGAGAAGTGGGGGAAGAAACCCCCAACTTTGACAGCTCAGAGTGGGGATTCAGTAATGATGAGCAGCAGTGACCAGCACCGGGGGTGGAGTGTGTGTGCACGCGTGCTCCTGAGGGATCTGTGGCACTTCGCAGCTGAGCCAATGACTCACTCAATCTTAGCGACTTTGAGAGGTCATTTTAGTCATCCCCCGGCCTGCATCACGTTTGGAGGGGGTGGTGCGCCGCTCTGGGGACGTGTCTGGGTGCGGTGGGAGTGGGGGTGGGGAAGCGGCGCGTGACCTCTTTGGAAAGATTTCCGGCAAAGGACGTTCCCCGGCTCTCGCCGGCCGCCGGCTCCCGGGTTTCCCCCATCACGGAATCAGCATGGTCCTCCCGGGAACTGCTTTTTGCAGGATGAAAACCGGACGTTGGGTTCCAGGGGGGGGCGGGGGCTCCACTCCCCTCAGACCTGTCCCGGGAAATGGAGACCCGTCAGGGTCCCGTTAGAAGCTACCGTTTCCTTCACCAGAAACTTGCCATGCAGTGTGCGCCGAGAGAGAAGCGGGCAGAGACGCTACACCGCCTTCTCCCCGGCAATGCGCATGATTCTGCGGCTCTGTGCTCGCCACGCTTCAACGCACCTTGAAATGGGCTCGCCTCCTTCGCCCCGCGACGGGCGGACGGCCGAGCCAATCGGGGCCCCGGACGGCGGGCGGCGCCCAATAGACGCGCGGCGGGGGCGGCCCCGGAGGCCCGGCCCGGCTAGGCTGCACCGCGGACCTGGCCGCGCTCCGCCCGGGCGAGTAGTGCAGGTGCCGCTGCGCCGGGGCCTGGGAGGCGCGCGCCGAGCGGAGCGGAGCCGAGGAGGGATGGAGAGCGGGCCGCCCGGGCTGCAGGAGCACCGGCGCGGGGCGTAGGCGGCGCGAGGCGGGCGCGAGGCGGGCGCTCGGGCGCGAGGCGCGTGCGGGCGCGGGAGCACTTTGCGATAGGATGAGGCTCCGGGCTGGCGCGGTAGTACTATGATTTGGTATGTGGCCACTTTCATAGCAAGTGTGATCGGCACCCGAGGGCTTGCGGCTCAAGGTGAGTTGAAGTGCGGCGTCCCTCCCTACCGCTCCCGGCGCCCTCGGCCCCTCGCGCCCCGTCCCCCGGTTCCCCGGACCCCGGGTTCCCATCTCCCCGGCTCCCCGGCTCCCCGGCGCTCTTTCCTGCGGGTGAGACTCGGGCTCCGGCTTGGGCCGGGCGCGCCCTGGGGCACTGTCGGGGAGCGACTGGGGGCCGCGGGCTGGAGGGGTGGGAGGAAAGGCGCCCGAGTCCACGGGCTGCCGGGCACTCGGGGAAAGGACGCCGTGGTACCCAGGTCGACTGCGCCCGCCACGGGCCCCACGGTACACACCCGCGCGGCGAGCCGGTCGCCTCCCGCCCCGGTGGCCGCCTCCCAGAGGTGTGGGAAACTCCGGCTGCGGGAGTTTGCGGTCTCTGGGCAGGCTGCAGCACGCTCGAGCCCCGCGTCGCGAGGAGCGCCTGCCGGGAAGCGCGGTCTGGAGCCCTGGGACTCGCAGCACACGCGTCTAAGACTCCGGGTTCGCGGCCCTGCGGGCGCCCGGAGCTCTGCTCGCGCCCCTCCTGCCCACACATCCTGGCAGCCGGAGGTCTGAGCCCCCTTGCAGGGGCACCCAGTGAGAGGAGGAGGATTGATGAGGCTGGCTTCGAGGAGTGTCCGCTTTTGGCTGGACCCGGCCCGCGCCCGCGCCTCTCTGAGCGGCACCTGCCAGGCAAAAGTTCCCCGGGAGCGCGCCGCAGCCGCGCAGGCCCCACGGTGCCCTCCCGGGCTGCGAGGCAGAGCTGGCTGGGGGCGGGGGGAGGGGAGGGGGGTCCCTACGCTGTGAATCCGAGCGGAGGGAGGATTTTTCTCTTTCCTGGTTCTGAACTGGGGGAGACGCAAGGGGGGAAGCCACCGAGTTGGGTGATGCGTGCGTGAGCGCGCGGCTTTTGCTTTGGAGATGAGCTGAGCGACCTGCAAGCCTCTGGGTGGCACCCCCGGCTCTCGGCCCTTGTATGGAAGTCGGAGCGGAGCCTGGTGGGTGCCAGGACTGTGAGCTCAGGGCTGTCAGCCCACAGACACGACCTGGCTGCGGGCAAGTTCACCAAGCCGGAGGAGATGGCGGCGGGAGAGAACCCGCCGTGGGTGGGAGTCAGCAGGCAGGACCCGCCGACGGAGTACCCACTCCCAGCGGCGCGGGGCACCGGGTGGGCTGGAGGCACCTCTCACGGGGTTCTCTTGTCATCCGTCTGTGCAGTGGGTAGTGCTTCAAGAAACTTTCTGGAATGGAATGAATATGTCGCCTCTGCTTGGGGTCGGGGGTGATGGTGTCTGAAAACAGAAACCGCGGAGGGCGAAGGGGAGGGTGATTTTATTAACTGACATGTTGGTCCGGGTGGTTTTAAAACTCTTCATTTGTCAGGTGGGAACACTGAGGCCAAGGTGGTGGCGGAAGCTTACGGAACCGGGGTGGATGTGAGGTGGGTCGGGCTGCGCTTGACAGTCTGCCTGGAGCCTCATCCTCTTCCCCCATTTCCTCGTCGTCTTCCAATGCCCGCATCCTCCTCCCCTCCCGTTTTTGGTATGTTCCTGCTATGGGACTGTCCCTGAAAGCACAAAAGGATGAGCTGGGATCTTTGAATAGAAAAGAGACGCTGTAGAAAGGCTCTGAAATAGCCTCCGAACCCCAGTCAGGGTGGGGGGAATGGACTTCTTTGCAAGTTTAAACCCAGAATAAAGGAATATGAGTTTATACTGCAGCAACACACAGAATTGCAAGATAGAAGGAAGGGCTTCCCAAAATTGAAGGTTGTCGGGCATGAAGGTTATGCCCTCTTTCAGGGTGCAGAGGGGTCCTTCTGTCTGGAATGGCTGGACGTGTACCCCTGTCTGGAAGCAGAGGGTGACCTTACTGGTCTTAGGGTCTTTTTTTTAGCCTCAGATGCTCTGTTTGTGGTAGTTAAGGACCTACGTCTAGAGCCATAAGACTGGATTCGAATTCTGGCTCTGCCACCTGCTGACCCTGTGACCTTGGACAAATTCTCAGCCAATGTCGCTTGCCTCAATAGAAAATGTGCTAACAGTATGTGCTTTTAGGGTTTTTAGGTGAGCATTAGTGTTATAAGGAAAGAACCAACTACCTGTTAAATAGTATGTGCTCAGTAAACATTAGCATTATTATTGAATGTCCCTGGGATTTCAGGATCCTCCTCAGTTTCTTTCCCTTGGGCCATTCAGGGCACCAGGAGCTGGGAACGTGTTGCAGGGAAGTTTGAAAGGCTGTCAGTGCCAGGAAGGAAGACCCCTTTCTGGGCTGACCTTTTCTGGGCAGAACCTCTTGGACCTGACATCCCAGAGACACGTGTGCAGGCCTTAAAGCTGCTCGGAAGTCCTTTGCAAGGTCTCCGAAGCGGAAATGTTGTCAGTGGCCAGAGGTTTATGGAAGGACACAGCCCGGGAGGTAGGGGCTCCCAGCACGCAGCCTCTGGAGGGAGAGGATGGGCGCTCGCTCGAGTGAGCAGTACCAGCCAGTGTTCAGATGCTGGTGAGGCTCCCTGTGAGGGCTCAGCTGTTCCCTGACTGGCAGAGGTGACTTCTGGGGAAATCCCTCAGCAGGAGGGACTTTGAGGTGCTACTCTTAGGATTTGGCCATGGCAGGGGCTGCTCCGGCAGAGGGACAAAACAGGATGGTGCTATGTTGGGACTCCACTCTAACAGCCCTTGGGTGTGGGACAGAGGTCGGAATGGGCTCCTCCTTTTGACTTTGAGTGTGTGTGCCTGGGAGGTGATGAAGGTCAGTGAACAGGTTGAGGGAGTGTGGAGAAGAGAGGGGCTGGAGTGGTACCCAGAACCTGGAAGACAGTGATTGGTGTAGACTCAGTATCTCAGACAGCTGCTGAGCCAGCCGCGGGGAGTTCCCGCTCTGTGGGAGGACCCTGGGCCGTGCTTAGCCGACTGTGGACCTTGGATAGGGGAAGGAAGTCTGGGACTTTACTCCCACGGCTGCCTCCTCTGTCTGCCACAGATTCTGTGGTTGCATTATGCCTGACTACAGTGTCCCCAAATACAGTGGCGTTCTGACTCAGATCCTGCTGGTAGTTGAACCACTGCCCTCTAGTCTCTACCTGGCCTTGACCTACTCTTTTTCCTTTTGGTAATGAAGATGGGAGGGTGGAGGTTTGGACCCAGAGGTTGCTGTCAAGACCCCGTGGTGACCCTGTTGGCGGAGAAGGACTGAACTCCGAAAGTGGTCAGTGGGTGGATTTGTGTGTGTGTCCTCAACACACACACGCTGGGGACAGGAGTGTATCTGGCACTGTGTGCCCTGGGGGAAGCTGGGGAGTTGGGGGCTTGGCTGAGGGGCAGGGGCAAAATCAGCTTTCAGCTGTGGGCCTGTGGCCCAGCATGTGCTGGTCTTGGAGTTGCAGGGTCCCAGACCTGGAGTGGTTTTGCGTTTATGGTTCTGAGACAGAAAGCTGGAATCTGGTTACAAAGGAGCAGAGGCTGCCTCGCTGAAGATTCTGAGCCCCGCCATCTCTCTGGCCCTCACTCCAACCTCCTGTGCCTTTGCCCTCTCCCAAGCCTGGGAGCCAGTTCTCAGGGCCTGGCAGGCTGTGTCTTCCTCCTCGGCTCTCTCTTTTTCAGCCCTGCTGGGTGCTTCATCCCGTCCCCACAGCCTTTCTATTTGCTGAGCCAAGATGTAGGTGGGGTGGGAGATAAGGTCCAAAGAGGGCTGGGCCTGAGATTTAAGGTAGCTCACTTCTCCATATCCTGTGGCTTTCTCGGGCTGGGGTGCAGGATGCTCAGGGAGCGGTCCCCTTCCACCTGCTTCCTCGAACAGGTTAAGCAGCTTGTGTGAAGAGTGGATCTGAATGGTCAAAAAGCTACAACTGCTGAGAGCTTCCAGCTGTCCAGAAGTGTGTGTGTGTGTGTGTGTGTGTGTGTGTGTGTGTGCGCGCGCGCGCATACACATATGTTCCTATAGGCGTGTACATATGTGTGTGCTCTTGCATGTGTGCATATATGTGCCCCTGTATGTATATGCATTGCATATGTGTGCACACCTGTATGTGTGTGGACCTCTGCCCACACCTGTGCATGTCCATGCATGTATGCCTGTGTGCACACACACGTGCAGCCTGTATGTGTGCATGCCCCCAAGTGCTTGAGTGCCTGTGTGTTTGTGTGCACATTCGTGGAGTGTGACAGGGTGGGGAAGTCAGTGTGCAGGCACGAGGTAGGGCCACTCCTCTCCCCTGCAGCCTGAGAGCAGAGAGAGCCTTGGAGCCAGTTCCTTGCCTTCCTGTCCTCTCCCGCCATGCCGTGGTACCCTCGGTGCTGGCCTCCAGGCAGCCTAGAGGTTATGAGAGTGGCAGGCCCCAGCCCAGGGCCTGTCTGTCTCCCTGAGGGTGTGACTGTGGTCTCAGTTGCTCACTCCAGAGGACTGAAGGGTTGGAGAGGCAGCTTCTGCCCATCCCCCACCAGGCACTGCCCACGGGTGTGAGCCCAGTCTGCTGGAGGCAGCTGACCTATTTTTCTTGGGAATCTTCCTGCTTTTCTGTTCTCTCTTGCGTGAATAAGCAGGAGATGGGGCCTCCGAGAGGGCTCTGGAGAAAGGGTCCACGTGGGCCAGGGCTGGGCTCCGGAGCCTCAGCTGGCCTGACTGTCCTTTGAGAAGGCCCCACTCAGCCTGGCCTTCCGTCCCTTGAGTCCCCTTGCCTCCCTCCTGGTTGTGTGTGCCCCCGAGATGGAATAGGGGCCTGTGACTTGCACGCAGGCACAGACTGTACGAGGTGAGTCACTGTCTTCGTTTTCTGGCTTCAGAGTAGGAATGTTGACGTTGCCTGGGGAGTAAACATGGGACTTCGGCTTCCCACGGACTTACCGCCTCTATCTGGCACCTTACCACGGAGCCCAGCCTCCTGGGGGCCGAACCCATGGCGCCCTCTCTTTGCTAGGCTGCCTGCTGGCTGCAGGGCCGCGTGCACCTGGGCCCTGAGAGTGCGGGGCAGGCCTTTGCCCAGGTGGGGAGAAGGGCCGT